CTTTTTGGTATAATGAATCTGTGTATTCGTTCCATCTTCTCTTGATCTTTCTGTATCATTCAATATTTTGCCTATGAAATCTTTCAAAATTTTGAAAGTCTTTCAAAATCTTTCAAAATTTTGATTTCAGTTCTGCTGGGAGTGATTTTCCTTGTTGATTTTCCAATTCTAGCTCCTTGCACATTTTGTTATATTATTTGTCTTTGTCTTCCGGAGCTGCCATTTGAAATGCTCTATTCAGCTCCTTGACTTCATCCTTTCTTCCATTTGCTTTAGCTGCTCTAGGATTTAGAGCAAGGAGATGTTGGTAGAATTCTTTAATTTCTTCCTCACTTGCTTTTGTGGTTGGTGCACACATTTGAACAATAGTTGTATCGGTTGGGTTTCCTTGAAGGCGGGTAGATACAATCCAACACAGACAGCCTGTACTTCAAGCCAGACCTTGACATGTCCTTTCTGACAATGAGCGCAATGCCGTTCCTCTTGGCGGCGCCAGTCCCGGCATTGTAAACCACATGGTTTTCTGATTCAAAACGATCAATGCCGGTTCATTTCAGCCCACTGCTTGATATCTACGATCTCAAACGTGATGCACTCCATTTCATTTATGACTCCGTTGTCCTGGATTCATACTTCGTGCTTTACAAGTTCTGAAAATGAGTTGATTTTTGCCGTCTTTTTTTCTCATTTTGAGCCATGTCCCATCAGCCACTGAAGGTCCTTAAGGCCTGACCCACGCAGTCTTCATTCACCACATTAGGGTCGGTGCTACTTTGAGAGGACACCTCTTCCTCGGTCATATGTTGGTCCCTTTGGATGATAGGAAAGACTCACCTGCACCGTCTCTGACCACGTTCTCCTCCTTTCTGTTCATAAGGCTTTCAGGCTCGGGCAGTGTTTCCCTGCTATTGTGAAGGCTGTCAGTGCTGACTCCGCGGAGGTGGGCAGCCTATTCCTTCTGCATAGTCGATTCTTAGTCTGGAAGCTCTGCTGAAGCCGGTTCACTCTGGGTGACCCTGCGGGCACTTGAAATATTAGTGGCAGAGCTTCCACATCACAACAGCTCACGTGCCACCGCCGTACAGCACACTGACAGACAAGTCACGGCACTTTTTAAAATACACATTTATTTCCTAAATTGTGTGTTAGTGTAAGATAGTAAGGATTACTAGCTGATAAGTAACGTCGCTTGTTTTTTTAAATGGGACCATCAATCCTGGGTTAATATTGAAAACTCTGCTTCCCAGTGACCCCATGTCTGTCCCATCAAGCAGAGGCTATCACCTAGCTAAAAAGGTGTGTGCGGCGGGTTGTCTGGAGAAACAAAACCAGTGACACTCCTCCATGTACAAGAGAGAACTTTATATCAAAAAGCAATTTCACATCAACATGGCAACCCAGCCCAGTCCCTCTAACGTCCTTCACGCCAATGCTAGGGGGGGGGGGGCCCCCTTCAGACTCATGTCGCTGGAGGCCACGGGTGCTGGAAAGTCACAGGCCAGTGGCTGCAGTGGGATGGATCCAAGGTCAGTGGTGGCATCATGGCAGGGTGCAGATAGCTCTCAGGGTCCAGTGGCCCCGGAGGCAGGCAAGTCCCAGCCAGCAGGAAAGCAAATGATCAGAGAGAGAGTGAGAGGAGGGACCCCCAGTGTGTCTTGTGAAAAGGCTACACACCCCAGAAGGCATCATCAGGCTGTGACCTGATAGACGGGTTGGACTCCCCCCCTCCACCCCCCACCCCCGACACTTTCATACAGACTCGAGTTGACGTAAAACCTGAGCACAAAAGGAACCAGCACGTAGCTGTACTGGATAAAGGACCGAATATTGGAAGCTCAAGTGCCACAATAGGATATGCAAACTAGGCATCAGGTTACTTCTCCTATTAATGCCTGTTACTCTGTCACTGCAGACTGTAGCACTGTTGGGCAAGCCTTGGATGGCTATCTGCAAGGCCAGTGGTTCAAACCCACCAGCTGCTCCTCAGGAGAAAAATGAGGCTGTCTGCTCCCACAAGGATTTACAGCCTCAGAAACCCGATTTAACATCACTATGAGCAGGAATAGACTTTCAGTTTTATTTTGGCCACTGTGCCAAGGTGCCAGGACTTGGAACATGGCAGCCCAAGGTGCCCACACAGCCCCTCCCAACTTGACACCCTGTGGCTGTGAGAGCCACTGCCTCCACATCTGGCCAGAGTGCTGCGCACAGAGCCAGCTCATGCTGCGCACAAAGCGCCGGTCGGTAACTTTGCAGAAGTTCTTAGATCCTGTTGTTATCACAGGGGTGGCTTGAAATCAGGCATGGCAGGAGTGTTCACACCACAGACATTGGTAAACAACCAATTAGGGCTTTGCCCACCCCACCCCACCCCCAGAGCTGGATGTTGAATATTTATGAGCACATCACTGCCTCCAAACTGAGCGTGTGGCTGGCAGACAGTAGGTGCTCTGCAAGTGTCTGTTCAGTGAATAAGTCTACAAATGGATGGAAAGATGAGTGGGTAGGCAGATAGATGGAGGGATGGAGAGATGGATGGATGAGTAAGTGGATGAATGGACTGATGGATAGATGGATAGATTGTTGGATGGATGAGTGGGTGGATCGAAGGATCGATGGATAGATGGATGGAGGAATGGGTAGGTGGACGCATGAATGGACTGATGGATGAATTGACAGATGGAAAGATGGATAGAAAGAAATGAAGGAGGGAAGGAAGGGGGATAGATAACAGGATGGAAGAAGGAAGAAAGATAGATGAACTGAAGGATGGATGGATGAATAGATGGGTGGGTGGATGGATGAGTGGGTAAGTGGTTGGATGGCTGGATGGATGGGTGGATAGGTGAATGGGTTGATGGGTGGGTGGGTGGATGGTTGGATGGACAGGTGGATGGTGGGTGGGTGGATAGATGGACAGGTAGATGGTGGGTGGGTGGGTGGATGGATGGGAGGAAAGACAGAATAGTGAGTGGATGGAAAGAAGAGAGGGCCATGCTGCAGGGTGATTCTTCCACGAAGGGCAAGGCATCTGGGAGGCACTTGGTCGTCAGCCGGGTTATAGGAAACTTTTATTTTCCCCGATGAAGAAACCTTTTATTTTCCTGTAGCACAAACTTCTAAGCAGCTCACTGGCCCTTTAGCTCTGGAATCTAGAGTCCAGATGAGTGAAATCAAGTCGTCCCTCAGTTCATCCCCGTGACTGTAGGATGCCCACCTGTGAGCGGCGTGAACTCAGAGACAGGCTGATGGCTCCGGGGAGGGCGGGGGAGGGCGGGGCGGGTAGCCTCTCCCATCCCGTCCCGCAAGCCTCCGTGGGGGCTGGCAGGGTATGCACGTGAGATGGCCCTGCTTGTCAAAGGCTTCCAGGGACCGAGTTCGAGGCCAGTCTTCTCCATGGCTCTGTCCCCGCGCCCAGGACCGTACTGCTGACTCACCCTTCATCTCTGTCTCTGACACCCCAGACGATGCAGTTTCAGGGGAAACTGAAGTTCCTGTTTGGACAGAAGAAGAAGGCGCCGTCGGGGACAGCCCTGCCCCCCCAGCTCTCGCTGTTCTGCGTGGCAGTGCCAGTGCTGCTGCCCTCTGTGGCCGAGATGAGGATGAAGACTGCCCTCCTCCGGACCAAGCCCAGGGACACCCTGGCCACCACGGACACCAAGTGAGAGCTGCTGACAACCCCCCCATCCCCACCCACCCCCCGGGTTTCATTTCAAACCAAGTGGCAGAGCGTCTGCAGCCTCAGAGGGGCCCCCATGTGGTGGGGTTTCCTCTTCAGCAGGTGATAAAAGGAAAAGTCTGGTGTTTCAAAAGCTAGTAAACCGCGCAGGCAACAGTTGTGTGTGCAGCAAAATGCTTTTCAGATGCCTGTCTGCCAAGTGTAAACTGTGATTGGCCGAGGGGTGGGGCCTGTCTTTATGGATTCCTCCAGCCTGGGTTTCATATAAGAAAAACATACTCAAAACCCAACGCCAACGCTAACAGCAATAGCCCATTAAAATAGAGAAAAACCTCAATGGAAAAGAAAGTAGAAGATAATAAAAATTAGAACTACTTAATTTTTTTAAAAAAATCATTTTATCGGCTGTTAGTGCTCTTATCACACTCCATACACCAATTGTCTCAAGCAAACTTGTACCTGTATTGCTGTCATCACTGAGAACAACTTTAAAATGAGTCAAAAGGGAGGTCAAATGCTAAGTGTTGGTCTCGCGGCATCTGCCGTGATCCACTCTCCAGGGCTCTCGGCGCAGCAAGCCTAGGACCCTCCCTGGTCTGACCAGAGGGGAGGCACGGGGGCTGAACCCACATGCATTTCATCTGCATGCTTTTGTTGTTCCCTTTTAAATGGAACAACTTTTAAATAGGTCAAGAGGGAGATCAAATAAGATTTTACATGTTTAGCCTAACTCTCTCCGCCACAATGGACTTTCAGTGCTCTGTCTGATCACAAACAAGGCTCTGCACTTCCCAGGACTGTGGTCAGAGGGAACTCACTGGACGCTTAATCTATGCGTGGACCCTGCAAATGGATTTGGGGCTTCCACTTCCACTGCTGTTCATAACCTTCTGCAAGTCAGGGGGGTCAGGGTTTGGGTCTTTTTCCTGCTCTGTAGACATACCCCTTCTGCCCTGCCTTCTGACACCGTCTACTCTCAGACTGAGCCTGTGGGGTGGTCAGGTCTGGGGTGGCACTCTGGCCCCTGCCTCCCTGTCACCTTCAGTGTGCCCAGCCTGCTGGGTCGGCTGGGTCAGGGATCAGCCACGGGCATCGAGCCACACCCTCCAGGACCCAAATCCCAGCCCCGAGCTCCTGCCATCAGATTCCCAAGGATGCCAGGGTGGCCCCAGTGATGTCCAAGGAGGACTGTGCAGTGCCTCTGAGGCGGGGCCCAGGGACCCACCTGACTGTCCCCAGTCGGCCACCACTTTTCAATCCCTGGTTGAGACCCTCCTGTGGTGATGGATCACAGCCTTTTTATCGATAATCCCTGATTGGCATTTGCCTTCTGAAAATGACTGTCTGGACAGACGGTGGCCACAGCTCCGGAAAGGTGTCAGAGCTGGACACCTTGCTTGCCGTTGTTCATTTCTGCTCAGATGGTCACCCGGCAGGCCATGTCAGCGGGAGCCTTCCGGGGCTGAGTCCACCAAAGGTACCAAAGGTCAGGTCCTCTCTGCTGCGAGGAGCATCCCAGTGGGTTCTGAGCCACTCTGTGCTCAGCACGAGGAAACACCACCGTCCTGCGCCCGCCTCACCCTCCTGGTTCTTGGCTACCAGGCAGGAGGTCCCTCTCCAGGACTGCTCTCTCCTGACAACAGGTCCAAAGTATGGGAGACGCATCTCACCCTCCTCACTTCTAAGGAGCTCTCTAGTCGCACCTTCTCCAACAGAGACCTGCTCTTCCTCCGGGCGGCCCGAGGCACGGCCAACATCCAACACCTTCAGCCGCATCCTCTCTTCATTCTGCTCCTATCTTCCTTGTTCCCTCTGCAGGCTTCCCATGCGTGTGGGGCCACTGAGGTGAACAAAGCTCGGGCGAGCTGCAGCGCGCATGGTCGGCAGTTTGAAACCACCCACAGCTCCTGTCAATAGTTTCAGAAACCCACGGGGGTCACTGTGAGTCAGCGTTGACTCGATGACAGTGAGTTTGGCTTTGGGCTTTGGGCCAGGCGCACCTTGGCCCTCAAAGTAAGGGCATCCCTGCTCTCGGACACTTCAGAGAGGCCGTGGGCAGCAGGTTTCCCCAGCGCAGGATGCAGGGCTGCTGCTCCTGGGGGTGGGGGCTGGTTGGGGGTGGGGCGAAGTACGGGGAAGCCCCGCCCAGCTTCCACTTTCCTCCCTCCACCTGGATGCTGCTGCGTGGTCCACCTGTGGCGATTTCTGTTTCCTCTCTGCGGTTACACGCAGCAGTTCGAAACCAGCAGCCGCTCCGTGGGAGAAGGACGGGGACGTTCTTTTCCTGGGAAGAGTTGCCGTCTCGGGCACTAACTCAGGGCCGGTCCTCCCTGTCCTGCCGGGTCAGCCTGGGCCCCCAGTGTCAGGGAGCTTGGTTTTTGGTGTCTTCCACGTTCATCAGGAAGTATTGCAAGGCCTTGAATACTAACTGGCGCCGCGCTCGAGCGGCAGGGAAAGCAGACGTGCGGGGGTGGGGTGAACAATGGCCACGCACGGCGGCGAGCTGAGCGGGGGAGGGGCTTCCTGCACCCGCAGCCCCTGCAGGTGCTCTGGTTCAGTGCAGACTCACTGCCCGCAAGGTGTTCTTGGCTGTCACCTGCCCAGAGGCAGAGCCAGGTCTTTCCCCAGGGAGAACCACCGCAGGGCTCTTCGGAGGTCGTCTCCAAAGGGGCTCACGTCGCGTGAACCTTTTGAACTTGGCTGCGCACCGAAAGATCGGCGGTTTGAGCCTAGTCAGAAACCCCCAGAAGAAAGGCCGGGCGATCGACTTCGGAATCCCGGTGGAGCACGGTGCTTCTCCGACCCACATACGCGGGGTCGCAGGGAGGCAGGTCCCCCAGTCGGCGACAGGGAGTGGGGGGGCCAGCTTCTGCGCACCTGCTGTCTGGATGCTTCAACTCTTGGGCATCCTTGTTGTCGTCATCTTCCTTGCCGGCCTTGTTTTTCCTTTCGTGCATCCTTAAGCGGTTTGGGCTTTGCTTGGGGAGCTGAAATGACGCGCACTGACTGAACGCTCTCTCCTGTTTTCCTCCCCTCGTCTTAAAAGCCAGCGGACTGGCGTGGGGGCGGTGTCGGGGGAGTGGCCGCGCCCCCTGGCGCGCGTGCGGGGAACTGCTGGCGGCGGCTGGGGCGCCGGGCTCTCGGGGCCGCACTGCGCGTGCGCCCAACAGCAACGCGCTCTGTTCAGCTGGCGCGTGGCGAGGCCAGGTGTGGGAACATTGGGGGACACACTGGCTGCGCAGGTCTTGTGAGGATTACGTGTAGGAAAGCATAGCAGGGCTTGCACACTTCATCGTCATAGCCGTTCGACAAATACCGGGAGCTCAGGGCTCAAGGGAGGTCGGTGGTTCAAACCTACCTTTAGTTGGGAGGGAGAAAGGTGCCGCGCTCCGCTCCCACACTGATTGACAGCCTGAGAAAACCCCACAGGGCGGTTCTACTCTGTCCAAGAGAATTGACTCATTGGCCAAGGGGTGGGGTTTAAATACTAGACACAGGGTTGCTAGGTGTCGGGATCAACTGCATAGCAGGGAGTTTGATTTGGGGTTCCAGTTACAGAGCAGGGTTTCTCAACCTTCCTAATGCCGCGACCCTTTCATACAGCTCCTCATGTGGTGGTGACCCCCCAACCATACAATCATTTTCGTTGCTACTTCATCACTGTCATTGTGCTACTGTTATGAATCGGGCGACCCCTGTGAAAGGGTTGTTTGACCCCCGAAGGGGTCGAGACCCACAAGTTGAGAACCACTGTTATAGAGAATAGTAGAGGGTAGTCTTGAAACTTCAAAGGAGAGAAGAGGAAAAGCCCAAGGGGAAATACAACTGGTAAAACAACAACAACAACAACAAAACAAACTCTGCTATCAAATTGATGCTGCGTCACAGTGACCCGTAGGACAAGGCAGAACTGACCTTGTGGGTTTCAGAGACCCTAACTCTTCATGGGCGTAGGAACCCTGTCTTTCTCCCGAGGAGTGGCTGGTGGTTTCGAACTGCTGACCTTATGGTTAGCAGTCTGACATATAACCACCATGCACCAGGGGCCCTTTATGGCTGCTAGCTTACAGTTTTTAAAAAGAAGCCAAGACTTTCTCCTCCTCCTCCCAGCAAGGAGCTGGGTCCCTGGGCTTCCCAGGGCTGGTTTCCTCAGCCGTATGTCAGATGGACTGGAACCGCCCACCTTCCTTCATGGCCTGGCGTACACTGTAACTGTTGGCAGCAGCAGGGACTCTGATTGATGAGGCTTCCTGGATTCCCATCACCCTAATTGTTGTTAAGGGCATCAAGTGGGTCCCCCCCTCCCCCCACCTCCCCACAGGGACCTTATGCACAACAGAACCAAACACTGCCCCGTACTGGGCCAGCCTTACAGGGTCCTAAAGCTTGCACCATTGAGGCAGCCACCTGCCAGCTCTCGTCGAGGGCCTGCCTCTCGTTGGCTGCCCCTCTGCGTTACCAAGAATGATGTCCTGGCCTCTCCAGACAACACATTAGAAGCATGTGACACAGTCTCGCCATCCTTGCTTCTGAGGAGCCCGTCTGGCCACCCTTCGTCCAAGGCAGATCGGTGTGTCCTTGTATCAGCCCGCGGCACTTTCAATCCTCTTAAATCCGTCTGTGGTCTTCCTTAGCCATGGTCCAACGTTCACGCGCATCTGATGTCCTGAGAACACCATGGTATTCCGGGTCAGGCGCACCTGAGTCCTCAAAGGAACGTCCTTGCTCTGCAATAACTCTCAAGAGGTCTTGTGCGGCAGATGCACCTGTGCATCATTTGCCTGTTCACTTTGGATGATATTTGAAATACCAGGGACATAGCTTCCAACAGCACAGCAACACACAAGCCACCACAGTACGACACACGGAAAGAGGCACTGACCCCACCACCCTGCTCTGAGCAAATTCAGGACCCATCTCCCACATACCCATCACAGCCTTCACTCTGAGCTCTGCACGGTGCAGAGTGCCACCCCTGGCTCTGGTCACCTTGGACAGTGTTTAGCGAGGTCCCCGAGACGGCCGTCATTAATGTCATCTCAGAGGCTCTCCCACCTGCCCTGACAGGGGCTCGGTGGCATGTTTTCATTATGACCTCTCCAGAAAGGACAGGAGCACCTCAGTCTCTTGGGGAGGGGGTCAGGGGTGCGACCAGGTGCTCATTGACTGAGTTTAACCCCAAAGCCATTCTTGGCCTTGAAAGCAACCTACTTCCCAACTTTCAGCAAATCTGCCCCTCAGGGTGGCTTAGTGGTTAGGGGTTTGGCCAAGATCCACAAGGTCGGCTGTTCGAAACCACCAGCGGCTCTGCAGGAGGAGGACAGGGTTTTCTGCTCCTGGAAAGAGTTACAGCCTCAGAAAGTCACAGGGGCGGTTCTACCCTGTCCTGCAGGGGTGCTGTGAGCCAGTGTCCACACCATGGCAGTGAGATGTTGTTGCCCAGGTGGCCCACCCTCCCTTGGCCAGGCACGCATGTGTGAGTGGGGCCCCCTTCCTCTCCTGGGCCCGTCAGCAGCTCGGCCGCTTGGCCAGCTTGCGGGATCACCAGGTTTTGTGTGCATACCTGACTTTGCTGTTACCCGCTCCTCACAGGGCCAAAGCAATGGCGAGTCTGTGTGACCCAGAGCTGCAGGGGACGCCCAGTTACTCGGCAGGTAAATACTGAGTTTATTTTTGAGTCTCTTTGGAGGGTTAGGGGGCATGCAAAGCCAGCTCCTGACTTACAGCTGTCCAGAGTTCCGCCGGCCCCCTGGGAGCCTGGTGCACTCCCTCACTCACGGAGTGTGGTGGCGTAGGGGTGGCTGCTGCTGGCTGGTCCCTGTGCCCTGCACTAGCATCCTGAGGGTGCCAGAATTCATGGCATGCTGGCTGAGTTGTGCCAGGCTGGAGGGTGATTCTCGGCTCAAGGACTGATCCTTGTTCCCTCCTGTCCACAGGGAGGAGCAACGGAGAGCATGGCATCCCAGTGTTAAGGGCGCATGCCGACACCGACCGCTGGACCCATGCACCGGCCAGGGCCTCCTGCCTCTGCCTCGGTGGTGCCGACCTCGTCCTTGACCCCGAGGGATCTGCAGGGTAAGTGGGGCCGGATGGCAGCACCACCCAGCGCCGCAGAAGACAGACTGGTCCAGTCCCTGGTGTGTCCAGCTGCCTGCGTGCTCTGACCGAGACAACTGGCCTGGCTTTCTCCTGTGGCACACAGACCACAGCGTGTCCCAGTACTGCCCACCCGGAGGAGCTACCACTACCACATTGGGCCTCCGCACACTCCAGTCTCCTCTTCTCCCCAGACACGCCTCTCAGGGGTGCCCTGTGCTGACCAGGCTCGGAGGCCCCTAAGGGAGGCAGGCTTAGGTGCACTCATGGCACCTGTGGGGGCTCAGGGAGGTTCCGGGGTGCAAACAGTGAGTGCTCAGCTCCCAGAAAGAACCCCAGAGGGGTAGGCAGTTCCAGCCCCCTCCCCCCCCAGGCACCTCAGAAAACGGGCCTGGGGTTCTGCTCCTGGAAAGCCCCATGGAGCGCTTTACTCTGTGAGGTCGCCCCAAGCAGGAGTCCCTCCAGCCGTCCCCCCAACAGCAAGCCTTGGGGCCGGGCTGGGGAAGGCCCTGGCTACACACTGTACTATCTCTTCTTCTTGAGCATGTTTTGCCCACTTCCTGCTGGGGCTGTGGGGCTCCACAGGCAGGAGCCAGGCTGGTGTGGGCCTCAGTGCCTTCCAGGGGCAGGGACCCTCTGGCCCCTGCCACCTTTTGTCCACCTTTGTCTCAAGCCCACTGCCATCGAGAGGCCCCCAGCTCCTTGGGACCTTGTAGGGCAGGGCAGGGCTGACGGCGGGTTTCTGAGACTAGCCCTTTACAGGAGTAAAGAGCCTCCGCTGCCTCACTCGCTGAGGCGGCTGCCCATTTCAAACCGCTGACCTTGCGGTTAGCCACCCAATGCTAACACGCTATGACAGCAAAGTTCCTTTCGTGGGGGCACCCCTGCCCCTCCCCCAAAACCAAGGACTCTTTGAACTGGCCCTTTCCGCTCCCAGCAGAGGCGGAGGGCTGTGTCTCGGGTGGGCGAGGTCTCTGGGGCACTGGGCCTGGCTGTCCTCGGGGGCAAGACTGCACAGGCATGTCCTCGGGAACAGGTGTCCCCAGGGAGGCCCCTCAGTGGACCAGTGCTGGACTGTTGCCAAGGGTGAGGGCACTGGCTGTAATCTCAGGATGGAGGGTCTTGCCCACCCAGACCCACCCAGAGGCACCTGGGGAAGGTCACAGCCGCCAGCAACCCGGTGGGCACGTCTTGCTCCCAGGCACCCAAAGTGGCCAGGCATTGGGGTCGGCCCCTGCACGGGCCCAGCCACTGGTGGTCAGGAGACTCCCAGTGTGAGAGAGCCCTGGGGCTGTGATGGGAGGGAAGAGGAGGGGTGTGGGTGGCTGGGAGCCTCAGGAAGGTGAGGCTTTCCCACACAGAGAACAGGGAGGACACAGGGTAAGTGAGCCAGAGTGGGCAGGGACCCGATTTAGTGTCTCCAAGGTGAGCAGTTCAAGCCCACCAGCTGCTCCAAGGGAGAAAGTTGAGGCTTTTTTCCTCCAGGAAAGAGTTACAGTCTGGCAAAGCCTCAGGGGCAGTCCTACCCTGCCCTGCAGCATGGCTGTGAGTCAGAAAGGACCCAAGGGGCGGTGGTTCTGGGAGAGGACTGCCCACGGCCTCAGGTGGGCACCGCCGGACTGCTCTAATGAGCCCTGTCTTCTCTGCAGGGACAGGGAGGAAGAGGCTCGAGGGAGGTTGCTGAGTGTGAGGGGGCAACGGCAACTACACTCATACAACTGCTGCCTGGAAGCCTCCGGGAAGACACGGCATCTGGGCTGGGCGGCCGAGAGGCAGCACGCAGGCGGTGGCGTGAAGTTGGAGCCAGAGCCTTGTGGAAGCGGCCCGTTTTCAGGGCGCGCCGAACCCCGGGGCACCTGCGTTCCCTACCCAGGCGTCCAGGGCGCCCTCACTGCCAGTGGGGTCGCCGCCTTCAGAAACGCGCCCAGCACCCACCCGCTGGACCGTCCCCCCAGCGCCCACTGCAGCCGAACCAGCAGGCCCTGGCGGGATTGCGACCAGGCCCTGGTGCCCCCGCCCACCAGCTGCCACCTACCCCAGGGGAGTCTGGGGAATGGGTTCCCTCATCCCGGAGCTCCGCGTTTCCCTGTGGGGGGCTACCTCCCCGAGGACGCCAAGCTGCGAAGCTTAGCAGTGCCCCCCGGAGCTCTGTGCAGCCCGATATTGTCGCTGGATGTGCCCATAAAGGTGGAGAGCGACTCCGGTTCCGAGGACACGGCGGATGGCTACTCGGCGTCGCTGGGCCAGATGTGGCTGGGAGCTGGGGACCTGGCCAGGAGGCAGGCGGTCACTTTCCCCAACAGGATGCCCCTAAAGAGAGAGCCTGACCTCCCCGGGCCCCTCGCCCATGCCCCGCACCTCGGGCCCAGCTGCCAGGCCACGGCCAGGCCCGGCCCCTTCTATCCAGCGGGCTGCGCCTGCCTGGAGCGCTTGCGTGGCAGGCAGGTTGAGCCGCCTCAGCG